TTTGTTAATACACGTTCCCACATTATTTACCTATAATATATGTATAATAGGCCCAAACCAAAACACAATAAAAAAAAAGTAAAAACACAACATCATCACTAGTTCTTTCTTAGACACATATGGATCCTGCTCTTACAGAAAACTTACAAGGATGTTGAGTTTTCCTTGGAAGATAGAGGAAACGGTTTCCATGAGTTTTTCTCGTTGGTCACGAGAAGAAACGTCGCAGACGGAAGTGGTGACCTGAAACCCTTTGGCTTGCCATTCCCGTAAGCGTTCTTGAAGCTGAGTTTCGTCTCTGGCACATGTGTGGACTCTTGCTCCTAGCATGGCTAGTTCCTCCACCATAGCTTTACTATTCATAGAATACTTTTCATTTTTTTATTCGGGTTGAAACATTGAAATACAATCAAAGACCATATATAATAAATATATGATTCCATATTGGATTATTAAGATATAGTAAGTGGAGTATGAGAATTTGAGACTGACCCGAGGCCTTTCGAGCCACCGGTTACGAGAGCGGTCATGCCTCCAAGGCTCCATCTAGAATTGTCTCTAAAATTTTCTTCTGTCTTAGCCATTTTTTGATATCAGTTTCTTCAATGAAGGCCACATATTTGCTGGAAAGAAAAATGATTGTCACATCCTTTATCTTATAAAGCACAAGTCACTTAGCCAATAAAACTCTGCCACATCATCAAGTACAATTTTTAAAAAATTTCAACTAAATTCAGCAAAAAAATAAAACAACACGTTGTTTGATAAAAATTTTAATATTAAAACTAAATTGCATGTTCTACTACAAGTTCATCCCACATTCTCACTCTATTACAATCTCCACTCTCCCACGTCTTAAAAAACAACTACCCATTTTCAGATTTACACAAACCGTCATCACATGTGTATATATATATATATATATATATATATACTTACCTGACCATTTACAAAATGCAAATTTCTACTTTCCATTCCCCAGTTCGCTCATTTCTTCAAAGTAAACAAAATTCGTATTGCAAGGACGTAAATGGAAAACTTTGTTTCTACCATCGGCTAAGGGAACCATACGTTCAATGTCCCAAAACCGTTGATCTCCAAGCGAAGAAAAAGTATATTAATCGTGGTGTGGGTGTGAAAGGAGGAATTCTAAGAGTATGTAGAGAAAGTCAAGTTCAGTCTATCCGAACTCTTCAAGCAAGCAACATTCCGTCCACTTATATCAGCTAATTTACTCCTTCCAAACATGAATTTGAAGTTAAGGTCTTGCATTGCTTTTTTGGTTAAATTTTTAATGTTAATGTTTTTCCTTTGAATGTTTTGTTGGTAAAGTAGTGAACGCTTCAAAAAAAAAAACACAAAGAAGGGTAGACATTAAAATTTGTAAGTTTATCTATCAAAATCGGAAGCTATAATCCTTCAAATTAAATAGGACAAGAGAATATATATATATATATACATAAACTTTCTAATTTATAGAACACTTATGGTAACTGATGCATTTTCTTAATAGATATTAAAATTTGATGTAAATTAATTTCTTAACTATAATGATTTTTTATAGTAATCATCATCCTTACGGAATTTCTTTAGTTTTTATCAGCTATATATATGACATTTGAATATTTGATCCATCATTAATTCTCTTTTACTTTTGTTTAGCCTTATAAATTAGCAAAAAATTCTTAAATTAGTTATCAAGATCTAATTTTATGTCTATGTCAGAAATGAATGGAAGAAGCGTGAGAAGAAGGTGAATTAGTGAAGCAAATTGAAGAAGAACTACAAACGAGAAGAGACGCCAACTTACAAGGAGATGAAGAAACTCATGTGCCACTCATAAAAACGTTAGAAGCAAACCTTTGCACCATTCAAACTTCAAAGGGTGAAGGGGTCACAATTTATATATGTGAATATGTGATATTATAACATAAAAGATAAAACACGTTACTTTACCAATAATGTTGTGCATAATTGTATTTTTTAACTTTCATTTTTCTAATAATTGGCTTTAGAAAAAAATCTGTTCGATCAATTTTATTTTTCTCAGCAGTTTTTTAAACTTATCTTAATACAGAAATGTAATTAAGATTTTCAGATATAACATAGATGAACCCAATATATTTTCCAAACCCTTTAAAATAATTTCAATTTTTTTGTGCTATCAAAAATGTTAAATTTTTTAATCATCTCCATGATCACCTCTAGCATTCCCTTAAAAAAATATCAAATTGATATGAGAATTAACACTATCTATTATCCCACGATATCTATACCACATAACCTCAATATTTGGAAGAATTTCTTTTATTTCAATAAAAATTAGAAAAATTTATTGCAATAAATAAATAAATTATAATTTCAAAAAAAAAATCCGTACGTAGTACGGGGTAGAATACTAGTATATAATAAACCAAGAGTAGTTGTGAGGATGGACCATGAGAATTTTACGTGATTGTTTTGAACTTTGAAACCCTTCATTTCAAAATTCCACATTATAATCATGATATTTTCTTGGAAAATCTAACACGAAATTCCATATTCGGAAGATGATTTTTTTGATGATTGAAATCGTATGTATAAAGTTGCACATGATAACGACTTTGTGTTCAATGGAAAACCTTAATTTATGAACATTATTACTCGAGATATTTTTCATGATTTTTTTCGTTACGAGTATCAAAATAATGGGCCTTAGTCAAGGGCCCAACGATATGAGATCTAGTCAGGTTTCACTGTTTAAGTCTCGTCCCAACAATGCCAGTTTCCTTGGCCCACGAAATAATAGATTGGGCCTTTTTTGGCCCATGTACAATCTCTTTAATTCTGTTCTCAATCTCAAGAAAACATGAACCGTTGGATGTAACCAAACAGCAGTGTGTTATGTCCAGAATCTGAAGAGAAGATAGAGAGAGTGGGAGTGGAAGGAAAGATGTCTGCAACAACAACACCATCTCTATCTCTTTCAAATTTCAGACCAAGATTCCAACATCCAGTTAAACCCCACCATATATCTCCACTCTCTTGGTCTGTTTCAAGAAGAAAGATCTTGTCTTCAAGGGTTCTTCGTGTTCACAAGGAAAAAACTCAACTATGGAGAGTCTCTGCAACTCCGGAAGAAATTTCTCAAGAGATCGTTTCTTCTGATTCTTCATCTGAAGCAATTGTGTCAAGTGGTGGTCAAGATGGTGTTGCTCTGATTATACAAGTGCTTCTCTTTGTTGCATTTCTTGCTCTCACTGTTCTCACCATTGGTGTAAGTTGTTATCCACAAAAAACCAATCTTATCCATAAACTGTCTAATCAAAATACAGAACCAAACCTGAAACCCGGTTTGTTAGACTCTAAACCGGTTTTATATCATTACAGGTTGTGTACATTGGAGTGACTGAGTTCCTTGGGAAGAGGGAGAGAGAGAAGTTTGAGAAAGATGAAGCAGCGAAGAAGTCTAAGAAAGGTGGGAAGAAGAAGGCAATGAGAGCCAAAGCTGGACCAAGAGGTTTTGGTCAGAAGATTGAAGATGATGATATTGACATTGATCTTGAATGATTTTGTTCCATTGTTAGTAGAGAGACAAATATTTGATTTTTTGTTTGTAAGGTTGCTCAGTGATTGTCATCACATCTATGATATATAAACAACAAGATTGCAAAATTACAGAAACAAAAGAGTTCTTCGTGAAAACAGAAACAAGAGTTTGATGAAACAAATTACATAGATGGAGAAAAAGCTCTAAACACTGGGGATTGTCCTAAGCATGAACATATTCTCACTTCTACACATTTGGCAATGAAAAAGCCATTCTCATTCGTGTGAAGGAAACCCTAAAATCCTCACCATATCTCAGCCCATCTTTACACCATTCTCTGCATATTTTCTCTCTTACTCATCAGCCTAAAGTGGGATGTTTGGTTCTATGTATAGAAAAACCGTAAGCAACTACACAATTTTACAGATCTTGCAGAGAAAACAAAGCTCTCCTTCACAATTTTCCCGCAGATTATTTCCGGTTTAGATCTTACCTAATTCTCAAAACGCTATGGCAGAGCCATGCACCCTAGTTAAGCTGTACAAGACTTGCGGCCTTACGCCATCTGAGGCTGGGTTAGGGACTGCAAAGCCATTCTCCTCTCTGCATATGAGAAAAATAAACACTTAGAGACATGGACATGAGATTTATTGCAATAAAGACAATTTGGGAGGTTTGTAGCAGATAAAGGTCAAAACTTTGGACCCAAAGAACATATTATACATACCTCCAGCAGCAACGAGTTTTTCAACACGAGCAACGATATGCTTTCCATAAGTGTATTTCTTTAAAGCATTGAGATCACATGACAGCTGACTGCCGTCCTGTACTAAATTTCAGCTCGCTTTTTTTTTTTTTTTTTTTTTTTTTTTTTTTTCT